TCGTGTTTCACGGTACCCTTCGTCGCAGACATGTCTCAATCCCAGACCGACGAGCTAGCTCTTTTGGACGAGGACGACAGCATGGACCCAGACGACTCGGAGGACGAGACGCAGGGAATGGAGATCCCGGCGGGCTTTCACCTTCAAAAATCCACCCCCGCTGCTCTTGACAGATTGCTTTTGCAACGTGGAGTGTTTGTTCGGCTGGGCATGGGGTGGTTCGGTGGGTTGATCATTCAGCAACCTCCGAAGCGCCACCTGTACGACTACTGTGTGCAGCTGGAAGTGGACCACAGTACGCGCAATATGAAGCTGCCCTTAGACAAGTACAGCGGAGATCCGGACGCGGCGGTAGGCTCATGGGTTTTGCTTGTGAGCGCCAGTAGGGCGGGAAGGGTACGCACCCCCAACGTCACTCTTGTGGACCAAGACGGTTGACAGTTGCCCCATGGGGGGGTGTTTGCGGGTATGAAACTCTGCGTCGAGTGCAGTTGAGTAGTGCACCAATTGAGCAATCGATGATGAAATAAGAACAAGAACACCGTTTCTGGAGACAACTGAACGACGAAATAAGAACCTGGCAAATAAGAACTTGTGCTCGGCTTGGGGCAGCCAACAAGAAGCGAGCCTCGCTCCAAATAAGAGGTTCTTGCGGGCCGGTTCTGTATTACAACAACATCGACGACAGCAGCAGAAACACCAACAGTAAAAACAACTGCAACAACAACGACGACGGCGACGACGACGACAACGACAACGTGTTACGAAGACTGGCTGCCTACAGGTCCTTGATGGTGTTTTCTTGTTTCGCTGAGGTTTGCACGTGGGCCGAATGTGTCGCAACTCGCCGATAAGGTCAGTCATCAGGTGCGTGCATGAGCCGTTTGAACTCAAAGGAAAAAAAATCACAACTGAAAGCTGCTGGCGGCCAACTGTGACCTGGTCCTGCTGCCTGATTACATGTTTGCCATGCCTAAGTGACGCCGTTCTCCCATGACTACTCCGGAGGGATCAGAGCTCTACACAGTAGCGCATCTGCGGTCTGTCCGCGGCCCAAAGTGAGTGTCAGAGGTGCATGCTAGAGGGGACGGAGCGGCGTCGGGGGTTACCCTTTTCGCATTGCCCTCTGCGTGCCTCCTTAAAGGTTGGTTTCGCCGCACAGGCCAACTCGAAGCGGAGTAGCGGAGGAGCGGAATCTGTATCTTTCACGTGCTGTCTGTGTGGGCTGGCGTGTGACGGAAAGGAGAGTCAGAGGAAGCTGCGGGAAACGTGTCAAGGGTGAGCACAGAGCAATTCGTTACACTTTGCATCGATGTCGGCCTGAGAGTGGAGGGAATTGTCCCCACATCTCTACACTTGTGGCCATCCACGTACTACAGCAGTACAGCAGCAAGTGCTACAACATTGACTGCACACACATCGATTGCTTGTACATGGTGCATGATGCCTCGTGGTTGCCACTAGTGCTGTAACTGGTAGGGACACACCGATCGCCTTGGGTTACAGCTCCAAGAGCCGCGCTTGTTGAACCCGTGCTGGTCTGTCTCTGCAGCGTGACATGTGCGAAGAGAGCCTGTGGAAAGTCCTATCTACAGCAGTATCGCCATTGTGCGATCCCCCATCATCATACCACCTGTAGAGTCCAACTGCATGCTGGTGGCCAAGTTTGATCGAGGGGTACGATGGATACCATGCCCTTGCTGCTGCTGCTGCTGCTGCTGCTGCTGCTGCTGCACCCCTCGCTGTTGCTGCCACCACAAAGGGCGCACAAAGGGCGTCCTGCTGCCTGAAAAAACTGAGGAGGATGTTCGTGTCCACTTCACACTTGACACAATAAGCACAGCGTCAGTTGAACCAGTACAGCAGTGGTTATTTTATGCTATGTGAAGACAACAAATACTCCAGTTGGTTTCAATCCACCTACTGAAGAGACTTCACCACACCCCTTTCGACTGAGGTTGTATTTCGAACGGGTAGTCTTTCTGTCAGGTTATGTCTACTTTCTAAAAATAACACAGAACCAATGCCCATCTGAACCAGCTCGCAGACCGTGCCTTGTGGTTACGGTGAGGTCACGCGCAGACATCACGCACTGCTGAAGCACCCCCCGATCGACTCGCGTTGCCTCACCACCCACAGCGACCAACTGCTGAATACACTGCTGTGCTACACTGCTGGAGAGACGGTTGCTCTGGCTTACCTCGAGTTGCGTGAGATACCATACCCCCGTGGAACGTTTTTTTTTTTTTTCAAACTCGATTACTTGTAAGACGATGCAGAAGGCCGCCGACACGTGCCCCGAAAGCTCTCGACGCGACGCAGTTCCAACTCCCGCCATTTTCGCAACCGTCACTGCCTTCTTTCCCCGCCGAGTAAATCAAGCTTTGGAAATCGTCCCAGGGGGGTGGAAATGTGCAACCTCGGGCATCTGGTCTAGCGATCCCGGGCAGCGCTGGGTACACCCAATTTTCAATTTTCAGAACTCGATTGCTTCGCAGCCAAAAGCTTGGGCCAACACCAAAAGGTGGCGGTTTTCGAAACATCTCGTCGGGGCTTTCCGCAGACATCTCGGGCTCGTTTCTGCTCTCACTGTACTGTATGTGGAGCAATCGAGGTTTTAATGTCGGTCTGGGGGGGGGTGCCATCCCTCCGCTTCCTACGGAATACCACGGTACGTATACGCTATGGTACAGACAATCTTGGTCGTGGCGCAATCGAGCTTTGAAATTCGGTCTGGGAGGGGGTATCATCTCCCGCATCCTCACCGTACCATAGGTGAGGTTAGATACGACCCCATACCCACCCCCCCATGGACGACCAAGTTTCGGGGTTGGGCCTCATCGCTATCGGACTACACCAGCTGATGGGGCTGGCACATCCAACAACTGACTCTCTTGAGTTTACAAAATTGCACCGTCTGTTTTCCGCGCCAACCTTTGTTGTTGATACTGGCGTGCCCAGCGGGGAGATAATGGCTGCGTTTTGCTGCTCAGAGATTGGCAAAAACATCCGTAGGTCAAAGATGACGCCGTGAGGTCGCTGCGCATTGTTTAAGGACCCTGTTCTCTGTAGATCTAGATTTATTCGTTGTAGTGTTCGTCAGCAGGAAACAAAAAAATTCCGCGTGGGTGCCATTTTTTTTCTTTCTTCTTTGCCGAACGTCCCTGGTGGCAACCCGCACTTGAGCTTAGCCGTACTCGCCCGCGAAAAAGAAACAATCGGTTGTCGCTGTCGCAACAGGGACGATGCTCGTTTTTCCAAGGGCTCTTCGGGGATGTTGTTCCACCGCAGCAGCGGCGAGGGCGGCGGGGTCGACCCGGGCTGTTCCTGATGCCGGCGTGCGAGACTGCAGGCGTCTTTTCGTCGCGAGTGAGGAGCATTCACTATGTTCTTGTTTGTTGTTGTTGTTCTTGTTGTTGTTGTTGTTGTTGTTGTTGTTTGATTATGGCGATGATATTTTTTGATGGTTGATATTTCTTCGGTGATGTTGTTATTTCTTCATGATGGGTGGTGAATTGTTGCCTTTGTCTTGGCCGTTGTCGCTGTCGTTGGTGCTGTCGTTGGTGTTGGAAGATATTTCTGTTTTTTTCGTTGCGGGTGTTTTGCGATGTTCAGGCGCTGCATCGTTGTTTCTCTTGGCATATTATTAACAGTTGCTGCATGCATAGTAGGACATTGCGGCGTGGTGTTCTGCGTTTCTCTCTCTCTTGTCAATCTTGCCACAAATGTCATATAAATAGTGCTTTGGTTGTTATCGTTTGTTCTTGTGGCCAGCGCTGTGGCTGTCTGACTGATGCTACTTGTTTTCGGCGCCCTCTCTTTCTTTATGTGTGTCATGTATTTGACTCCCACCTCTGTGTCATTGTTATAATAGGCCCCCCACGCCCCCCCGAGATCGCTGGGGATCCGCGCTGGCTGCCCCTTCGAGAGCTGCTGCGGAAGTGCGATACCCCCAGCCTTTGCGATGCCGACAAGAGCCTCAGCAGCAAGGTCATCGACTACGCCATACGCCCCAGGTTTGGTTTGGATTGATCACTGCCGTCGTCAGTGACTACTGAGGCCCTTACATGTTTTACGGGGGACCGCGGTGTTATAGTTGTCGTTATGCGTTCGCAGTATGTTTGGTGTAAACCTCCTCATTATGGCGCGCACCGCAGGCACTAAAACAAACAAGAAGCAGAACGAAAATGCCACTGTGTGACCTCCCTCTTGTGTGACCTCGGCTGGTATGCATCCGTCAATTTTTAGCGCCGAAAGGCCTATTGACTGGCGCCAGAATAGGTGGGACACACACACACACGCGCGCACACACACACACACGCGCGCGCGCAATCACACTGAGCCACTCTGACCCCGCAGTATCGCAGGTTAGACTACGAAACCCGTGGAGGTGGGGAGGGAGGGGGGTAGGACCTATGGCGTCTTTTTGAACCAGGTGAGGTCTCTCCGTCTGCGTGGTGAGGTGGGGCCGGCCAATAACGATCACTGTTACACCAGCTCACGCAAAGCGGCGTTTCATCCCTTTCCCAACAGCAACATGGCAGCAGCCGCAACAATTGACAACGACGTACCCACCATCCATTGGTGGCCACCGAAAACACCAATAGACCCGCATCACCATGAACAACAGCAACACGGCAGCAGCCGCAACAATTAACAACGACGTACCCACCATCCATTGGTGGCCACCGAAAACACCAATAGACCCGCATCACCATGAACAACAGCAACACGGCAGCAGCCGCAACAATTAACAACGACGTACCCACCATCCATTGGTGGCCACCGAAAACACCAATAGACCCGCATCACCATGAACAACAGCAACATGGCAGCAGCCGCAACAATGACAACGGCATTAACACTCAATGCCGTATGATGTTGGTGGTGGCTCCTCAGGCATATTCGCACCAGGGGCATCGGACTGCTGGGGCTGGCGAGGACCGTGCGCACCGTGGGTGGGCCAGGAGAGCACCCGGACTTCAGAAATCTGGTCGAGGTGAACGTTTCGACATGTTTTTGCGTGAGTTGTTTGCTGGGGCTGTTGTTATGTGCGCTTGCTGTTTCACTGTTGCTGCTGCTGTTATTGGCGGTAAGGGTGTTGGCACTGCTGTTGGGGTCGCTGTTGATACTGTTGTCGTTGTTCTTGTTCTTGTTGCTGATGCCTCTGCTGTCGCCGTGGTTACCATCGTACAGTGGTGTCGATTGTTGTTTTTGTTGTTGCCGCTGTTGTTGTTGCTGTTGCCGTTGCTGCTGTGTGCTGCTGGTGCTGCTGCCGCTGCTACTGTTGCTGGTAATGGTGGTGAAGGCGTTGTTGCTTGTGCCAGAACGGGACGGCCACTCCTGTGCGTGAATGATTCACACCGCGGTGCTCGTACGAGCCCCGCAACGGGCTTGCCCAAGGTTGTTGTTGGCGGCGGTCAACGAGTTACTGCTGCTTCAGTGCCAGGATAATAGGGCGGGTGCCCCGAATCTGTTTTGCCTAAGAGGGTGTTGTCGATCGTGCGGATAGAGGCTTTCCCTGGTATGCAATTCTTCTTTCGTGTTGGTGTTGACCAACTGCTGCTGTTGTTGTCGCTGTCCGCGAAAATGGCACATGCCGGCGCCAATCAATGACTGCCCGAAAACCTGGCGTTTCCCCTTGCCCCCCGTGCCGCCCTTATCGCGCAACACTTCGGGTCGCAACCACCCCCCCTCCCCCCCGATCCTCGAAAATATGTTGTACTCCTCTTGACCGCCACGTCTTGGTTGGACTGTGGGACAAAACACTTCCTCACATCGAAACCCCCGCTATTGCTCGTCACTACGCACATCCCCTGGTGGATTCGATGGCCTTCGGCATGTTGTTTTTTTCGATTACCCCTGTTCCCCCGTGCAGTCGCTGATGGAGAGCAGCCCCGGAGAGGTGCTTGTCGTCGACTGCGGAGGAAGCAATGTGAGACGGCGGGACTGTCATGTATTGCCAGCACGGTTTTCGTTGTTTTGTGGCATGCCCCGAGTGCGTTAGTGCACCTGTTCCACTACCGGTGTAGAATTGGCATGGTTTTTGGCCTTCTTTTTGTATCATGTGGCTAAGCACCTTCCGTCATTGTGCGAGCAAATGCACCCCCTAGACCGACTTGACTTGCGCGACTCGATTTCATCCTCACTCAAAAGAGGGTGCCAAAACCGGCTGATGCCTTTTGTACGGGGAAACCTTCGCTGTGGAGCAATTCAGCAATGACGAGTCGCCAAGCAGGGGGTGCATTTTCTTTTTTTTTCTCGTCACTTGAATCACCCCCCACAGCTCACAGTATTTCTAACGGATAGGAACTTCCATCAGGGATGCCGCTTGGGAGCGGTGCTGCCTTCACATCTTTTTCTCCCCCCGCTCGATCGTGTTCATGTGCCCCACCTCCACACCTGCCCCCGCTCCCCGTCCTATTATCTAGCAGTAGACACCGCCTCCCTCACCCTCCTCCGGCCTTTCCATTCGCCCCACGCCGAATGCCACGCGTCCTACGTTACATGCATCGTTCACCCTCCCCAGCCTTTCCGTGTGCCCCAAGTTGTTGTTGGCCTGGGGTTTTACATGCCACCACCCTGATAAACACGCATTACACGTTGTCGGTCGGGGCAGATCATGTCAGGTCGCCGGGGAATTTGTCTCGGCTCTCCAAGGCCCTCATTGTGTCCGGGTTTACTGGACAACTAACCCTCGCCCCATGCCGTAGACATGCCGCTTACACCCTCCCCGGCATCCCCGGCTATTTCATCTTTCATGTGGGGCCGCCTTGCCGACAAGTCAAGTTCATCAGGAAACATGAACAGGGAGGGGGTACGCACCGAATCACTTAAGCCCAACGTCCCCGGTTGCATGCTTTCATCCCAACAAGTTTTACTTAATGAAAACAAAATATCCTTCGAAGGCTGCTGTTTGTGTGCCCCACTCCCGCGCTAACGCACGCGCACACAAGTGTCTTTGTGTGTTTCGACCGCATCAAGACCGGCGGACGTGTTTTCACTGGTCAGGCCGGTTACTACTGTAGCGCGGTCGATGCTAATGAGGAAGCACACACACGCACGTTGTGGTTCGGAGCAGATCGCTGTCGCGGGGGAACTCTTCTCGGCAGAGGCGAAGCGACGGAGCCTGGCGGGGATGCTCATCGAGGGCGCCTGCAGGGACACCGAGACCATCGCGAGGGTGAGATATTCATAGCCTATAGTATAGAGACATTACCCCTAGGCGACGTGACGTAGGACAACATCCCCCGTGGGACATTTCATCGAATAACTGATCCGCGCCATGTCCGCCGTCTTCGACAACATGACAAAGGGCTCAAATCACCAGTCCAATCTCCATCTGGCCTTTCTGCTTCATGTCCATCGCATCTATCCGTGGCATTGTGGCCGTCCGCCCGGTTGGAGGGTAGGGGACGATTCCTTATCCTTACCCGTCGTAGAGATACACCCGTAGGTGACATAACGTAAGATAACACACCCCCTGTATTGACTTCAACAGCTTGCCTACTCCACGACAAGAGAGCGCATTATAGTCAAGGTGCTTTCCGAAAATCTCGAACAAAAATACTCTTGCAGCTAGGTGTGTTATTTTATTCTTTTGCGTCGTGTGGAATTGCTTTCTTTTGTATTTTGCTGGACGTCGGTCCTTAGGTACAATCTTGTCGCACCAGATTGGGCCACACCGCTTTTGGTGAAATGTAGAGAGATCAATCATCCTCTAGATGCCGACAAGCGAGCTCCAAGCGACCACTTGGTAACACAACAGCACCCACAAAACCCATTCGTTTTTTCATCAACAGGCAGAGGTGTTCAACGTCTTCCTTCTTCCATTTTCCGAGCTGGTCATGTGTCTCTTCCATGCCTGCCCGTCTACCTTCATGGGCTTCTTCGGTTTCGTTTTTTTTTTTTCGGCAGCTCCGCTTTCCGGTGTACTGCCGCTTCGTCAACCCCATGGCTGGACGATGCATCACCCTGGACAGAGATCTCATGCAGGTACACTGCTGACGGGAAGCTTGGCGTGGTTTTTGTTGTTGATTTCTCGTTTTTTTCGACATAATTAATTGTATTTTGGGTGAAACCTCACCTGCCGGAACGGGAGGCAGCGTCTATCTGTCCCCGCCTGACAGAAAGCGTGCTTCGGTACGAATATTGCATCTTACATGAAGTGTGATGGCAAGGGAAAGGGCGTGGTGTGCATCTTGTCTACACAAAACCCGTCGGGACCGGGTGCAGTTTTTCGGATTATCTAACCGCGCCTTGAACCACGCCCGATTGACGAAATATTTGGATTTGGTGTATACTCGGAGTACATATTTGTTTGGTATTTTTTGTGGGTTTGTGAAAGCCAAGCTAATATGTAGATTGATCGAAGACAGACAACCCGTTACAGACACTAGACATCACCACGTTCGAAGGGGATGCCTTGAAGTCTGTACAGTGAATGGAAGAAGCACCGTTCGTTTTGTGTGGATCGATGAGCTGCACGACCAATGAGAGTAGCTAAAACTCGATTGACTAAATGAATGATTCGTGTTTGTGGGTTTGTGAAAGCCAAGTGAACATGTAGATACATCCTAAGGTAGACTTGCCTGTTGGAGACGTAACCTCAATCGAAGGGGATGTCTCCAGGTCTTTTCAGGGAGTCGAACAACAACGTTCGGTGTTGTATGGGGTCGATTGCTGCACGACCAATGGGAGTAGCTAAAACGTGTACGGAGAAATCTCGACGTCGCTGCCGAAACCACCGTTGTTACCTGTTGCGGAGACTGGTCACATCTTGGCTTGTAGAGAAATCAAGCAGTACCGCAGTGGGCCCGGTTGAGCGACAGGAGGGAAGTACGGTCGCTATTCGGGGCAGGCCATTTTTTGTCAGCATAAATGGCGGCTGCATGTACGGGCGTAGAGGTAACGGTGCCATACAGGGCGTATCGCTAAACAGCTGGGCGCCATATCCAGGTCTGCTGACTGTAAAATATCCATCTCCCACATGCGCGTCCGCCCCCACTTTTTGCGGAGATGTGCCACGTTTACCTCTTCACTCCTGAAATGATTCAATCTTCACTTTCGACAAGTTTCTTTAGTTTTTTGTGCGCCTTGGACCTTGGCGTGAGGTTTTCTCCCCTCTACTTTCTTGACGATCGGCCTACGTAGGTGCCCGCCACAATCGGAGGCGTCGAGAATAAACCCATCTTCACTTCTGACATTATTCACATTATTCCGGCTTCACTCCACGATATTTTTCCACCTCACTTCTGACATTATTCCATCGTCACCTTGGACATGGATCTTCTGGTTTTGGGTGTGCCGTGGGCCTTGGCGTTAACGTTTCTCGGTAGGTACCAGTCACAATCGGAGGGGTCAAGATCAACCCCGGCGACGTGATCATGGGAGACGATGACGGTGTCGTGGTCCTCGGGAATGACTTGGACAAAATTCAGGTGACGTCTTGTTTTTGTTGTTACCAACGGCCATAGCCCTCATGCACTTCATCTGTGTAACGCAACTCGCGCACTATATACGTGGAGGCCGACCCCCCTTCCCTGAAATGTCGGATGCCCTCGCCCCATTGTGGAAACCTTGACAAGGTCGAACACCTCGGAGAAGACAACCAATTCCTCGAAAGGGGGGAAATCGAGGTATTTTCGAGGCGTTGGTTGTGGTTCCCCAAGGTGTTCGACCTTGTCAAGGTTTCCACAATGGGGCGAGGGCATCCGACATTTCAGGGAAGGGGGGTCGACCTCCACCTGTGTATTCTCTACCGTGATTGTTGCTGTTTTCTTGTTATTTTCGTTTGTCGTCAGTAATTTGTGTGTTTGCTGATGCGTTCCCCGCAGCGTTTCCTGAACACGCGTACTCCCTCATGGATGAAGAAATTGTCCACGGTTTCCCGCTGCCGAGTGTGCGGTGATGGCTGAATTGTGAAACCCAAAGTGAACTTTGACCTGGCACCGTTAGCGATATTTTCTCCCCAAAACGGACAATTTCATAATGTACCCGAAATGAAGAGAAGCACGCCTGACCTACCGAATACCGATAGTCCTCTACCCCACCGGTGGAGTACAAGCAAAGGGTACCGGCCGAATTTTGTAATGTAACTTGCGTTGGTGGCAAGAGCAATGTTCGCATCCCGTCCCACTCTTTTTTTGCGTGTTTCTGTGCACTTATTTCTTTGCTAGAAAACTGCCCTAGCTGCTTCGGAGATCCTGCGAAACGAAAGCGCCGTGCTGACCGAGGTCCTCGACAACAACAGATGCCTCTTGGAGTTCATGGACATGATGGACAGTCACAAGCAAGTCTCCCCAGAGTGAAAACTGTTATGATGCTCCAACACCAAGCTTGGGCCAGCATAATCAATGGTGGTCTTCGAAGCATCTCGTCAAGGGCTTGCCGTAGGCGTATGGGGCTCTTTCGGCACCCGTCTGGTTATTGAGCATTCGAGCTTTCAAAGTCGGGGTCTTTGGTGGTGTGCCATCTCTCCGACTCTATCGGAATACCACGGTACGGTTTGCGGTACGGTACAGACAATCTTGGTTGTGGAGCATTCGAACGATGAATGTCTGAGGGGGTGCCATCTCCCCGCCCCTTGCGGTAGTCATTTATTGGATGTGCTGGGCATTAACAAGGAAGGTTGCTCCACGCCGAAATGGCGCCTGATGGACATGGCGGATACTCAACAAGAAGAGCAGACGCGCCTGTCACTGTTGGCAGTAACCGCGAGAACCTAAGCGGGCATTGTTTTTTTTTTATCTCGTCGTACCATCCGTATTATGACGCCCGTCGACACACGTTTTCGGTGTATGTGTTTGTTGCGCCACGCGTTGTCACAAATGATTTTTTTGTACACACGCCCAAATTGTCGCCCGGCGGTGCTTGCCCCAGTATTGAACCCGGGCTGATTCAGCCGGCGTTTGACGTTGTCATGGTGTGTTAGGTACGGTACTCGGTATTCTCTTACACGTGTTCTTTTTTTTTTTTTCCGCAAGACATGGCTGGAGATTCCGTGGGCCCGGGTGAGTCGAGGACACAAACGTGTGGAGCACGTTGGGGTAGGTGCAGCTAATGCGCTAGTTGCAGAGATGGGTAGCCTACACCGAGGCCTCGTACGTTGGCCGCTAGCATGCAGCGTGTGAGTTGGCCCGACGGACACTTGTCGACAAGAGGTCAAGCTTGGCGTTGCTGTCAGCGATGTACTTGTTGGACTTGACGCTATTATTCTGACGAACATCCCACATCGAATGGTAACACTTTTACATGCATTCCATTGGCTCTGTTGGCGAGACGACGGCCTAGCGAGAAATTGGAGAGCAGTCGGATAGACCACGTGGGACGGTCCTCGAGCACACTCGGGGTCTTCTGTCGCAACTCGTTGCGAGATGGTTGCATTTTGTACGGTTTTCTGTCTTACCACCGTTCTGCGCTCTGGTTACCCCGGCTGCGTGCAGCACAGCGTCAGGTTGTCCAGCGGGAGGATGATTCATTGCTGCATGGTTCCCCAGGATCAGAGAACAGTAAGACGTGCTCTCACGTTGTTTGTGAAGACGGGCACGTCTGTACAGGGCGAGAAAAAACAGGGACGACGAAGTCCGAGAAGCGAGGCAACCTTGAGAACGCAACTCGTAAGCGTGTGCATGGCCTTGAGATAGGAGCTGCGTCGTTGGGCGAGTGGGTAAACCGCGTGGTGAAAACCGAGGAGAGAATTTGAACGTCATGCGGTGCTTCGAACAAATGCTGGTGTGCAGTTTCGCTGAGAATCCAGGCAACGTTCACTGTAGAAGTACGTCCTCGCCGTTTGTTCTCTCGCCCCAGTTGCACTTATACCGAAGTGACACTTCGCGTGGTACCCGTCCCGCATTTATGCTGCAGACATTTTGGCCATAGATTGAATGCAAACGAACTTCTCCATTCCTCCATCTGGACCTGGCTCGCGCAAGAATGACCTGAAATCATCATCTTCGTCTTTTAAAAAAGTTGTCCCGCACACACTTTTGATACTGTGTAACTCGCTGGATTTTATGCAGACCGGTGTCAAACCCGTAGCTATCAACTCTCGAGCCTAGGCAAAACAAGTATGTACTGCTACTGTCCCAAAGGAATGCGATGGCAGAGCTCGAAGACTTGATATGCCAAGCATATCTCCCCGACCGAATTCATTGTTAGTCGGTCCAACCAAGCTAGCCCTGTCTTCTTTGATTGTCATTTATGGCGCAACATGCCACAGTAAAACCCGTCCTGCTGCTGATGCTTTCGAATCCTGGACTTCTGTTCAACGTAGCACAGCACGCACATATTCCTCAACCTACCCTGGCGTGTTACCCGAGACTCAATCCCCAGGAGGACATGACTTCCCTTCCGTTCCAACACCTCGCGTGCTCGACAAGGTGCACCTCTAAAGCTACACTCACTATGCTCGAAGTCCAGCATTGACAATCATGCACCGTCATCCCCGCAACAAAGACTTTGTGGCGCCTGCTGATTTCTTTCTCTGCCAACTGGCAATGGAGGCCTTGTTGATACCTGCGGGCCACCCTTGTATGAAAACCCAAACATCCCACCTTTGTGTTGACTCTGACTCGTGTAATCTGTCCATATCCATTCCCGCTGCAAACTCACACAAATTTCTAAGACTACGATTGCGTGCACTGCTTTCGTCAGCGTAACTGGGAATTTTCGATGGTCGACTGCAGGAGAGTGTGTTCAACGGCCTCGAATCACAGAGTATACGAAGGACCAACAACAAGGACTTATGAATCCGCATCCTGGGGACCTGGCCCGAACGAGTGCGATTCTCTTGCAAAAGCATGCAAATATGAATTTTTCCGCATGAACAAAATACTTGTCCGACAGTCTACACTATCCTGCAATAACCAAACACTTCCGCATTCCTCGTGGCCCCATCCCACCATCTCCGTGTCTAGACTACAGTACTGTACCCAATTGCTGAAATCCTCTATCTCGGAAGGGGGTGAAACGGCACCGAAACCGCAACATCGTTGCAACCGACGATACCGCAGTTTGACACCCCAATGACGTCCTACAATATACTGTATTTTATTGCCCCCCCCCCCCCCCCCCCCCCCCCCCCCCCCCCCCCCCCCCCC